AAAATCCTCAGAAATATTTATATATAGCCTTATTAATTCTAAGCTTTACTGCCTTTATAGTGAACCTAGTCTTGGTAGGTCTATAAAAGTAAACAGGCTGCGGTGGCACTAAGAGAGAATGAACGAGATGGAGCCGTCGAAATACATTTATAACCAAAGATCGGAGGAACTGAGGTAAAGAGGCAGGCCCAGAACACGATTTAAGGACCAGGTGGAAGACGGCTTGCGAGTGTTAAACGAGTACGAAATTGGAAAACCAAGGCAAGGGATAGGAAGGAATGAAAGGTGATCCTAAAACAGGCGAAGACACACTTAGGGCCGGTTCTACATTCCAGGTATAAATTGGAGAATAGTTATTCTGAGTATAACTTATACTTGAGTTTATTCCAAGTATAACCTTTCGAGCGTTCTACATTGTGAAATCGACAGCGGAATAGTTATTCTGGGTATAACCACAGAACACTAAGGTAAAACGAAATAGTAGATCTGATGTCTTCAAAATTAGTTCAAATTGTTATTGACAGCGACATTTGGCATTTGTCATAACTTTAAAATTTGTTTACAATTGAAAGGAATTGGAATAATTGATTCGCTTTATCTGGTATTTTATCTACGTTTATATTATTATACTTTTCAAAATTAATATAAAATGAATAAAAAAAGATGTAAAATTTCCTTCTTAAATTTTTTGTTATCATCAACTGAGATTAGTGTTATAATATAATAACCAAAATTATGTAAATATATCTATATAGGTATACTCCACATTTTAAAAAAGTATAAATATTGGATTACAAAATAAATAATTTTAGTTAAAGAAATGTTTATATAATACAGATTCTAGAATTACAGTCTCTGTTATCAAAACATTAAAAAATATATTGCCTTGGTAAGATTATACCTATACTAGGTATACTAGTCATATGTGTAGACGTTATTACATTACATACATATCCTAAAATTTTAGAATTGAAATAATAAATGCTTTCTTTTTCCTTTGGATTGCCTAATAAAATTTCCTTTGGATTTACAATCTAAAATGTTTGTGCAATATCAAAAATTTTATTTTATATATAAAAACAAACAAAGTGAGGTTAAAATATTACAGATTTGACAACCCCTGACCGACCAATAGAAATGCAGTATAAATTTATACTCGGTATATCTGCTAAACTTTGGAGGGATAAAGTTATTCTACAGATATACTCCGATTATCTTATTCCTAGTTTATTCTTTGTTTGTAGAACACCATTAATGAAGTTATTCCAAGTATAACTTTATTCTCAGTATATACTAGCATTGTAGAACCGGCCCTTAGAGTTGTAAAGCCAATGATGATGATGAAAGTACTATTACAAATGCTTATAATTAAATAACTTACATGTTGATCATTGGATTTTAAAATACTATTATCGGTATACTGGAATTCGACATCAGATGACCTGATATATTTCATGTACACAAATATGTATCAAAATATTAAAATTATTAATATATTGAAGGCTGGTTAGATTAATTTAAGAAACAAGATAAAGTCAAATAATATAAATCTTTTATGGTCCGTCATACAACTTCGGACTTTATTAATTAATTAAAACATCTACTTCACAAAATATTTTCATCAAATGAAGTTCTGTTGATAAGCACTCCAACTTCACGGCTTATTACGCGTAGGGTTGAGAGAGGGAAGAAGTAAATCCGACGGAATACAGCCTTTCATCTCCTTTAATTTTTTAAGATTCAGTTTAACTCGTGGGAAATAATTCGGAGGACATTACAAAATCAAAAATGAAAAAAAAATTAGAGATCTATAGTAGACAAACCTTCCCCGTCCTCTTCTTCTGACTCGGTTTCCCTCACGGAATGACCCTAAGGTATTACTTCACAGGGGAGGATCTAGCTATTGCTCTTCCTTCATGTTGTTGAAGTAATTGCTTCCCTCCTTCTAACCGTCTCTATTTTCAGCTAGTCTCCTTTCAATGTCGCGAAAATCCTGGAGAACTTCCATCACGAATTTGCTGATTGCATCCAAAGCTACCTTCGATGAAAGACTTTCTCCTACTACGGCCTCTTGTCGAATTTTCTGTTTAATAACTGTTTCTAGAGTATTACGAAGCAAGTTAAAACAAAGACACACGAAGAACATGTGCTCCGCATCTTCACTAACTCTACGACAGGATGGGCACTCTAGAGAATCGTTATGTTTAAAGCGATAAAGATATGCTCGAAAGCAGCCATCTCCTGAGAGCATCTGCGTCAGATACTAGTTGACCCCGCCATGCTTGCGGTTCAGCCAAACATTCACCTGTGGTATAAGATAATGCGACCACCTAACCGTTGTTGCGGAATCCCACTGTAATTGACATCGATGCATACTGTTTTGCCGTTCTCTTCTAAGTTCATCTCGGCACAGTGTAGTTGTAGTTGACTCTCTTTACCGATAAAGAGTCTTCCTGTCTTCAAATAGCACTCCAATTCAGAATTAGTCGTGGCAAGGCTGTTCTTACTACCGACGCTTTAGCACTGACATGCTCCACTTGCTGCTTGAATCTAAGTATGGCATCAGTCAGCACTCCCAAGTACCCAAGGAATGGTTGTGATGTGATTTCATGTTCTCCAATTCTCAGTGTTACGATTTCCACCTTTTTCCGACTAGTAATAAGTACCGTCTCAGTTTTGTGTTTCGCTAGTTTTAAATTAACTCTGATCATCCGTTGGCAAAGAAGAATCCTTTGCAACCATTACCACAGCCATGTCATCGGCGTATGCCATGAGCCTAGCATCTCTTGGTTTAGCTTTAGCAACCCATCATACAAATTATTCCACAAAAGAAACTCTAGCACAGAGCCCTGTAGTACTCTTCCAGTGATTTTATATTCATTCGGGCCAGACTTTGTGTCATCCTTCGAAATTCAATCAGTGAAGTAGCTAGTCACTATCCTCCTTAGGTACTTTTATATTTTTTCGGACCAGACTATGTCATCCTTCAAGTCGATCAGTGAAGTACCTAGTAACTATTCTCCTTAGTACTAGTAACTATTCTCCTTAGGTATCCTCATTTCGGTAAGAGCTCGTATAATGCAATTTCTTCGTGGCCCTCTTCCATTTGGTTCTTCGGATTGCCTCCTTAGCTGTGGTAACAAGATTAATCGCATCTATACCGAAAACCATACTGCTGTTGAGCAGCAGTAATCTTGGAGAAGCTTTTGAATGATATTGATTTTGAATATTACATATATTCAATACAATATACAGTACTAGCATACCTCAAGAATGGTTGCTGTCTACGTTTGTGACCATACCGAAGAAAACTAAGGCAATGCAATGTTCAGATCATCGAACAATCTCCTTGATGAGCCACCTGCTTAAAATATTTCTTAGAGTCATCCACAACCGAATCTATCAAAAGTTAGATATCTATATTAACGATACACAGATGGGATTTAGAAAGGACAAGGTACAAGAGAAGCTCTCTTTGCCTTAAATGTCCTAACACAGAGATGTCTAGATGGTAACCAAGATCTGCATGCCTGCCTTATAGACTTTGAAAAGGCCTTTGACAAAGTACGCCACAATAAACTCAAAGAAATCCTGCAAGGGAAGAAGATCGACACCAGAGACATGCAAATAATATTAAATTTGTACTGGAATCAGCGAGCTAATATAAAAATAGAAGACCGAACATCGGACGAAATAGAAATACGTAGAGGAGTACGACAGGGTTGTATAGTCACCGCTTTTGTTTAATATCTACAGCGAACAAATATGCCAAGAAGCTCTCTCACATGCAAACGAAGGGATAATAGTCAATGGAGAAGTTATCAATAACATTCGATATGCTGACGATAATGTGATAATGGCAAGAACAGTGGAAGATCTACAACATCTAGTTGAAAGTATGAATGAGATAAGTAATAACTACGGCATAAGGATGAACGTCAAAAAAACCAAATATATGACCTTCAGTAAGAATCCAATACATGACACTAGTATCGCAATAAACGGTACCCAACTTGAAAAAGTTGGCAAATACAAATACTTGGGAACCCTCATCAATGAAACAGGTGACCAAAATCACGAGATAAAAAGACGTAATGAAATTGCCAGGTCTACCTTTATAAAAATTTAAAAAAACATTTTGTAATCGTGATATTAGTATTCATCTACGAACTAGAATGTTAAAATGCGATGTATTCAGTACTTTGCTTTACGGTGTTGAGGCATGGACTCATAAACAGAGCAATATTAAAAATCTTGAACGCTTTGAGATGTGGTGTTACCGCCGTATACTAAAAATAAGTTGGGTGGATAAAATTACAAATGAAGAGGTTAGGTTAGGTTAGGTTAATGCGTAATGAATACGCAGAATAAATAATAATCCAGAAGTTATTATGAATATAAAAAAGAGAAAACTTGAATACTTAGGCCACCTGATGAAAGGACAAAAGTACACATTCCTACAAAATATAATGCAAGGAAAAATCCAAGGACGCAGAAATCCAGGCCGTAGAAGAATGTCCTGATGAGAAATTTAAGAGAGTGGTTTGGCTGTACCACTAACGAATTATTCAAAACAGCAGTAAACAAAATTAGAATCGCCATAATGATGAGAGGCACTCAAAGAAGAAGAATCTTGGTTGCTTCCATGTGTGCAGGAAAGTACCCTATGTGAGGAGGAGGAGGAGGAGGACAGAGTGTGTGTATGTATGGAATCTTCTAAATGGTATGATTGCTACGGAGATGAAAGAGACATATAGACTGGAGATGGAGTAGAGGAATGCAGCAATGATGTTGTAGTTCATAATGGAGCAGAGTAGAGTAGATGCTATTAGGAAAGGATAAGAGAGTTGGAGGTTTTTAATGGGCTTCTCAACAGGTGGAGGTTTTTAATGGGCTGATATCCCACATTGTCATTCGACAAAGATCTTCCTCCACATGCGGAAAAAATAATCTGTAATAAAATAGAACATACTAACTGTATTAATATTTAATTAACATACCTTTTCTTGTACTATTTGCCCAATCGAACACTTTGTGAATAGCCGTAACACCATCCCTTCCCATTGGGGCGATGTCACCTCCTGTTAATATGGCATAATCCATTCCTGAGTGTTTGGCGAGTTTCTAAAAATAATTACATTAAAGTAAATTTATGAAGTTTAAAAATATATTTTTTGTTAGTCCACATTTAAGCTCTATTGTTAAAAAGTGAAAATGAGAGTGCGCTCTGGTTGGATTCTCCCTCTTATATAACACACTAGTTTTAGTTAATAAACGGCTTAGCATATAAATTTATGTTTCTTATCCATATAGAGGATCTAAAAACAATCATTGTCATGGTATTTACCACTAACAAATTAAAGAAAACTTAAAATATAGAGTGTGATATTGATCTTTGAGATTTCTAGTGTTAAAAGTAAAATTAACTTAGCGCTTAATCTTAAATTAACGATTAAATCCAAACTTAATACTTCCTTAATAAATGAACGGAAAGTAATTACAACTCATTTTTACCTTAGCAAACATAGTTTTTCCTGTACCAGGTGGCCCATGCATCAAAATATTTCGGTAGAGTCCTTTGTTTTGTTTAGTATTTTTTGTTGCTATTGCTACATCTCTTAATCTTTCTTCTAATTTTGGAGCTAAAACTATACCAGAAAGTGCATCTTCACCTTTAGTTTTAAAACTCTTTATAGTTTCTACTGGGTGTTTAAGAGATTCTAATAGAGAAAACCTGGATGTTTCTCTTACTAAAGATGGTTTACCTAAAAAAAGAAGAGTGGGAAAATTGTAATTAAAGTGTTGATATAAATGTAATTTAATTTAGGATTGAAATATGTAGAAAATGAAATCTATTTACCTATTCTAGACTCAATGTATCTGGCAGTGATACTAGTGGCTCCCTTAGCAGAATATATACCTAGAGCAAGTAATGATAATCCTCCTGCTGCTGTAAGTACTTTATTCCAGTCTGTTAGAAGGGTTTGAGCTCCTGTCCCTAGAACTGAACCAGCTGTCCTGGAAACAAGCAAAATTGTATTGTTTTCATATATTTTAAATTTTATGGAAAATTTTTATAACTTTTTTGTTAAGATTTTTTTTAATCTAGGACAGATCAAGAGTGTCAAGCACCAATGTGAATAGAGGATGCTATGCATTCAAATTTTCATGGTGGTTACTTAAAATATTACTATTTTTTTTCTAAAACATATAACTTTGCAATATTTTATTAATACGTTATATCTGCTTAATGTAGATTTTTCAAAATCTGTATAAAACTCGGTCATTTTAAGGTATTTAGAAGTACTCTCTAGTGGATAAACAAAAATGTTATAAAATTATTTTTCTGTAAAAAATCTCCTTAAAATTGTAATTATAAAATAATTACCAAAAATTGCTAATTATATAGACTACAAAATTGTGAATATTTTACTTAGCTGAAAAAGTATCAAAAAGCTTACATTTGAATGTTTGTTATAGCATACCGTATTAGAATTATTAAAAAAAATTAAACAGCATAAAAATTTCAAAGTAGAAAAATATCCTAAATTGACTACAGAAGCTCAGACAATATGAAATTATTTTAATAATGAATGGTTTTTACTGTTAAATGATATAAAAATACAAAATATTATTCTACGTAAAATATACAGCATAAAACGGTCTTAAAGTTTTCAAATATATAGGTATTAGTCTTTAACAGAAATTAAATCTAACATTTGATGAAACAGTACCTAAAATGATGAACTTTCGATTGAAAATTAGGGTGCTTTTTCGATAATAAATAAATATCAGGTAAAAAAATAAATCTTTCAATTCCAAAAAATTACAGTGTATTTGATACATAATAAGGCTAGTTTTCACCAAATTTCGTAAAGAAAAACATTTTTTTTAAAGATAAAAATAAAAAATCAATTTTTCACAAAATTTTGAGGTTATGTGAAAAAGGTGTAAATACAAAAGTTGTAGATCTTTTTGTTACCTGTAACTTTGCTATTTAACTTTTTTCCATAGCACTTGTAGTTTCGCCGAAAATCGCGATAAACCGATTTTTACCCTTTAACCCCCCCTCTCACTTCCCGTCCACGGATTGAGTGTAATTTATTTTTTCTTCCAATTTTAGCATATTCACTTATTTTTCCAATAGGTTTCATTCTACTATAATTTTTATTGACTTTTTACCTTTTTTAAAGGCTTCGACACTGGTCTAAAGTGTTAATTGAGAGATGAATCTATTTCAGAGAACTGTTTCTATAAGGAAACAGTTTTGTCTTTAGTAGAAATTAATTTTATTATCTCGCGGAACTGTACCTAATCTAACTTAAAACTCATACCATCTCTCGTGTCCAAGACTTACTGTGTCTTTAGTAAAGAATACTCAATAAATGAAGTTATTTTAATAAGAAAGTATATTTTGCATAAGTGTGGCAATGCTAGTATGAGAAAATTGTCATTTAGATATAGCCGTGGAAAATATTTTCCATTAAAATGGAAAATATGAGTAGAAATATTAACATATAGCACCCAATAATATGTATTGTATATGGGTAATTAACTGAAGTAAAATCCATTATTACACATTATACAGTGATGAGTGTCTTACCACCCGGCTTTTTAACGTAAGAGATAGAAAACACTGTTACCTTGTGTAATAAAGAGATGAACTCGTAGAGGTGGGAAATAATCGATTGAAACCTATAATTTACATTACATTACCACAATCGATAGTCTCACACCTTTAGACGTTAGCTTCGAGCTAACTATGTTTAAAGTTGTTAAACCCGGCAAAAGAGCGGAAAGGATAGAAGACACATTAATTTGTGATATAGTACGAGATAAAGCTAGTTCTTAGACGTGGCTATTTGACTTCAGTCATAATTATACGGATGACCTCGAAAATATTTTATTTTAATAATTTCTGATGTTAGAATAAATGATTGAATAAATTAAGATATAATATAGTAAAAAACATTAATTAGTAGCAATTTTAAATTATAAATCGTTAAGTTTATTTAATAATAAAAATAACTCAACTGAAATATTTGACTAAACTAAAGGTAGTTAGGTAGGTATGTTCTGTCCGAAAAGAATTATTGTATGTGGAATTGGTGTAATTGTTAGAGACGTGGTCTATTGACAAGAAGATTGGGGTTCAATACAGACCAAGGATAAAATTTTTGTTTTACTCAATCAAAAAATAATAGAAAATATGATACATATTAGATAACAAGTTTTCGAAAAACTCATTATTTACAATTTATTCTTATTCCAATGTTATAAAACGGAAATACAAAGTAATTCAATTCCAGTTTTACAGCCTTCAGTTGTGAATGCAAAATAATCCGGTGAAGACTGTTTATGTCAAATCCATCATTAAATTCTCAGTGTTAATATCTATTCCTCTGTACAGGTAATGATTTTCAAAACGATTGACAACATTGGAATGGATGCGCGCAACAGCTGCCTGCTTTACAGCTAAACAAATCATCAAGCCATCAAATAATAACATATCGAGAAGTGTTTTTGCACGGTAAACAGAAACTTTTTATTGGAAAAACAATTCGTGAAAATGGTTTTAACGGTCGAAGAAAAAGTGCAAATTGTTGTCTGGCATGTGAATGTATTATCAGACATTGAATCAGAATGTATTATCAGATTATAAACAATTCAGTCTATTATACGTAATTTTTTTACTTATGGATCCGTGTTCGCTTCAATAGGAGTTCGTAGACGAAGGGAAGTAAATCCAGATTTGGAACTAAGGAACACTTTGATTTGTGCAAGTATTGAGCAAAATCCTATCCAATCAACATCTCGTCTCGGAGAACAATAGGATTTTCAAGATTTAGAGTAGGTAAAATTTTGAAAAGACATGGATACCGTCCCAATAAACTTCATAAATCCAACGAACAATTCCCTGGGGATCAATAGAGACGTTTAGAATTTTGTCAAACTGCAATGGAAATGTCCCATCAAGATGAACATTTTTTAGAGAACGTTTTGTTCACCGATGAATGTAGGTTTCATTGCATGGCTGTTACAATTCAATGAATGCCTGGTATTGGTCTTGAGGAAATCCTCGTCAGATTTATGTCGCTCGTACCCAGCGTCCTCGAAAAGTAAATGTTTGGGGAGGCATAATGGGGAATCATGTTATTGATCCATTTTTTATAGGCGGTATGTTGACTGGGCGGAAATACTTGGAACTTCTGCAAAATCAAATTGTCCTAGCCCTTCGTAATTTACCAATACCTATTTATTCCATATGGTTTCAACATGATGGTTGTCCTGCACATAATTCTCGCATAGTCAGTGAATATCTCAGTGCGACTTTTCCTAATCGATTGATTAGTGGCCACGGAGATATTTTTGGCCTGCACGATCAGCTGATGTACCAACTTGTAATTTTTTTATGTGGGGATATATCAAGTCCAAACTATATGGAATTGAAGACGATAGGCCTAATTCTCTCCAAGAATTAAGAAAAAAGATCTCTGATTCAATGAGAGGTATTAGTCCAGAAACATTGGGTTATTGTTCTGCTGCTAATGGAGTCTAACATTTTTTGTAAATACATTTCATTAGAATAAAATACGTTTATTTAGAATATTTTTATAGAATTTCTACTTATTTAAACATTTTTTGTAAGTACGTTTATTTAGAACGTTCTTTTATGTTTGAAGAATTTTTACTTTATTTTCGAAAGTACGACATTGTTTTTTCAATAAGATTTTCATGTTTTACTATAAACACTTCTAATAAAGACTGATATAAATGTTTAGTGATTTAAAGCAAAACGATATAATATCTGCATAATTTCAAATTTAAAAAAAAAGTAAAAAACATATTGTAAATACGTTTATTTACAATATTTTATTTTTGTAGAATTTTTACTTATTTAAACGTTCTTTTAATTTTAAAGAATTTTTACTTTATTTTCGAAAGTACGACGACACTGTTTTCTCAATAAGATATTTATGTTGAACTTTAAACACTTCCGATACTAGTAGCGACTGACATAAATGTTTAGTGATTCAAAGCAAAACGATCTCTGCATAATTTCAAATTATTAAAAAAAAATCACATGTGGATTTTGAACTCTAATCGTCTGCGACGTCTGCGTCGCAGTGTCGAATTCTTACCACTAATCAACGAAAGATTGATAATTATTCCGTGACAAGAGTGTATGAAACTCCTTAAATCATAGTAGAAATTATTCTTGGTTAATAATTTAAAACTTTAGATTAAATAATCACTATTAATTAAATTATTTTATTCACATTTTTGCTTTATTGTGGTCGATCAGTTTTTACTTTCTGCTAAATTAAAAAATGGAAATACGTCACACATACGACGTCATACATAATAATTATGACCGAGGTTATTTAGCTCGAAGCTAACGTCTAAAGGTGTGAGACGAACGATAGTGCTAATGTAATGTAAATTATAGGTTTCTATCGATTATTTCCCACCTCTACGAGTTTCATCTCTTTTTATTTCACAAGGTAACTGTGTTTTCTATCTCTTACGTTTAAAAGCCGGGTGGTACGACACTCATCACTGTATATTAATTTATATTTTTCATAATATTAACAATTTAACTATGTTGATTTAATCTGATCTGATCTAAACTAATTAAAAAAAAACTTACTTTATACTTTCCAAAACAGTGATCCTGTTTTGTTCAGCTTTTAACCTGATTTGTTCCAATGTAATATCTCTATTTTCTCTGTCTATCTTTGCTTTGGCTTTTAACTCAGCTTCTACTTTCTTCATTTCATTCTGGTGTCTAAGTTCCATTTCATGTTCTATAGTAGCCTTTCTCATAGCTTCTTGTTTAGCAACAGATTCTTCTTGTCTTCTTAAGTTTTCATCATTCATTCTTTGCTGTTGAAGTAACTGATCATCATACCTTAAAAATATAGTATTAAAACATTAAAAATAAATAACATGTATACTAAGTCACTAAGACAAGTATGAATAAGGTGGAGATGAAATAAACATCCGTGGATCAATTGAGAACATGGTATAGGAAGTGTAACTATTTTATTATTGGGAATTTGTTAATTGAATAAGTCCCGCATAAACCCATATACACAAACACACAGACACACACGAATCCTTGCACCATAATGAAAGCTCAATGGGCAAATCACAGACAGCCAGACCACAACTGGTTTAAAATATGGTCAGATTTATTCTGAAACTACTGCGCTCTCCAATCCTAAGAAGAATCCTAAAGAGAATCGTTTAATGTATGATGTATGAGTAATGAGTAATGTAAATTTATGAGTATATTGCATTGGCGTTTTCCTATGTTTAAATATACATTGAAATGGACCAATGAGACGGTAATAATGTATTAATGCCACACGGTGACATCTTCTATCCAAGCCGTCATATTTTCAACTATTTTTTACACAGAAATATGTAATAACGTTTTACTCACTTATTCGGCCTAGCACGAACACTGCCACAAAGCGGTTGTATGTAAATATAACGTTAAACATACCCGGACTCGGCACTTATACGGAACGGACACGGCACGGATATGTATAAATTGATCTTTAGATCTTTAACACACTGCATACATGTCAAGATACCATAAAGTTCTCTCCAAGGATCCTTAGATAAGTATAACCTCACTAAAAGCGGAGTTAGATGAATACACTCAGAATAATGAAAAGATCCCAAAATAGGTTTTCAGGGTGCTCTGAAGCAAAACCAATACCACTAGACACATGGCAGCACACTGCACTGGAGACCATAAATTTTGGTTCTAGGAAAAACTGGCATGTGGTAAAAGAAGTCTTCGATCAGGATAAATGGATGGGCAATCTTGACAGTATTTATCCAATACTTCTACACAAGAGACTACTGACAGGTTAGTTTAGAACTGGGGTACATACCAAAAGTATGAAGGCTCATAAAATTAGCTTTTATATCCAAACCTGACAAAATTGTACAGAAAAACGTAATTCAATGAGGTCGATAAGGGATAGTGTATTGGCTGAAAGGCCCAAATTCTCTGAAACTTGGATCCTCAATGCATCTATGGTAAATAAATTAGAAGCCATTGAAGTGTGGATCTTCCAGATATTCCTCAAGATTTCATGGACATTGCATACCTCAAATGAAAAAGTGCTGCAGAGAACAGACAAGAAACAAAAACTTTTCAACAAAGTGAAAGTTGTAAAAAGATCATACCTTGCCCACACATACTGAGAAACAATAAGTGCCAATATGCTTAACTAATAGTGAAAGAAAAGATTGAGGGAGAGAGGACTAGGAAGAAAAAGACTATACTGACTAAGAAACATCTGACTATGAACAGGGCTAAATTTTGAAGAGCTAATCAGCTAATTTGATCAGCTGAAGAGAAGAGTTTGCAATTGTAGTAGCCAACCTACATTGGGGAGAGGGCACTTTAATAAGAAAAATGATGCTATACAGTGACATAGTACTGTGAAAAATATTCTATATACTGTATTAAGAAGCGTAAGTCCTCTGCAGTTAGAGTGTTCACTAAAGTATAGTGTTATGTTCTAAATGTAGTCGGAGGAAAGTGTCACCAGAAAAATTTAATAAGCAAAATGGCCAAAACTTTGAGGCTGTGTGTGAAAATAATATATGTATAAATATCTCAGTGTACAGCAAGTGCAGAAAATTGATCATAAACAGATGAAATCTGAGTTCATACAAACTCTTACTTCATTCATATCTTAGCAGCACAAATGTTTTAAATGCTCTATGCATGTTCTGCGCTTAACTATTTATTTGGTACTATTAAGTGAACTAAACAGACATAGAAAATCTTAGTCCAGTAGAAAGAACGAAATTACAGTGATATTTAGGAAGAAGGGAAATTATGGATAGGTTAGCTATTAGAAAAAAACAGATTGCTAATTTAAGAACTTCCAGAAGCAGGCTAAGACATCTACTTTACATTATGGGAGTTCACAGTAGGTGACACAACATTGCTTAAACTGTGAGAACATAAAATGTGCATAAACCAGATTTCTATGCAAGAAAAAATGCACATTTAAATCGATAAACCTCTGCATGGGTGATATCCCAATAAAATCAACTGAGACTGTCTCTCGTGAATACACTGAAAAGATCACCTATACAGAGATCTGGAAATACAAATAAGTAAACAATGGAGCATGGAAAGGACCCACACAGCACCTATTATTCTCTATATTATTAGTGTCAGTCCGAAAAACCTCTTAGAAAATATAAAACAGCTAGGCCTTAATGAACATCTTTATAAGACTATGCAGAAAGCTATACTACTCTTTATATCCAGATGCAAATGAAAATTTTTGAGAGATACTCAAAAGAAGTTCAGTAGGTATCTGGAATGAGTGAAATTTCCCCTTAGATGGATAGAAAGCCATAGTTTTCTAGATAATATTAAAAATAATTTTGATACTTATCAGGGCCCGTATTTTCAAAACCGTCAAAACCGATTAATCGTATTTTCGAGTTGATTTCGAACGCATCATATACGACAATTTTCGTACACGACTGCTCGAGTGAGTATTCACCATTCGAATAGCGGTAAACACACGGAGTTTGACATTTCTGACTTTTGCATTTAGTTTGGTTTTTAATTGTTTATATACGTGAGATGGCCGGCCTAAATTTTTTAATTGAAAGAAATGTTTTAAATAAAAATTAAACAATTTGTAAAATTATACCGTTTAACAAAGCCTCTGGCAGAGGAACTAATAGAACTTTTGGAGCCCCACTTGGTACCTCCATCTAGGGCATCTGCATTGAGCATACCGAGAAAGGTAAGTATAACAAATATTTTTAATTCGACATAGGTATACTGTGAAAATGTTCCCCAAAGCACCCTCTGCTTTGTTCCTTAAGAATAAGCATCCGGGCCAAGTATTTTACATAGAGAGTAATAAAATTGTTTACCTACAATAATTTTTTGCAGGTTTTCTAATCTATTTTCTTCCATAAAATCTATCAGTTTTTTTTTGTTCTGAAGATACAAATCCTCCGAACATGGAATTTTTATTTTCTTTGTCCATATTGGAAACAGAGAAAACAGATAAGTACGAAACCACAAGCCAAAACACGTTAACACTGTGTAGAAAATTGAGCAAATCACAAAAAACTAAAAAACTTCAAGTCAGCTGCAACAAGTAAAATAAACTTTTCAGTCAAATAAATGTCGCCTGTCACCTCTACCTCTTCTTTTCTTAATTTCGTGCGAATTTGCGGCGTTGCCGGTGAATTTGGGTTAACGGATTCTCGTATGCGAATTAAACTTTCGAATTGCGTTCGAAAATACGCTTTTACGTTCGTGCACGATTTTTTTTAGTTCGAACTAATCGCATGTGAATAAATTCGAACACATTCAAAAATACGACCCCAGGTAGAAGTTATTCATCTGAATAGTTTTGTAACTTAAATGCTTTTAGAGTCAATTTTGTTGAAAAATTTATATGAAAAAAACATACATAACTATTAAAACTCTATGTAGTTATTATATAATAAATTCGATTTTTATTAGATTCTAAGAAATGTTTCATTTTCAATGTTTGTACTGTAAGTAGTTGTATGGCTGATTCACTGATCTTGAAAATATCCTGACAGAGTAATTATTGGCAACATACAACATAAAAATCATTTAAAAAACTTATTGTTTATTTAAATGGTATATTGTAATTTTGATTAAGAACTTTCTATAAACAACCAAAAAATAAATATGTAAACCTGTGTTTTATTGTTTTAATTCAAGCAGTTTTATTTTGTTTATAAACTGCATGTAAATCATTGTGTACCTTTTAAGTTAAAACTAATATTGACTGTACTAATATCATTATGTGTTCTTGGTTGTATAGAACTTCCAGCCACTTCCAGTTGATGTCAAAATGAATTACTAAATTTACTAAACATCTAAGAAGTTCAGTAAATATAGTAGTGATGAGAAGGACACAAATGATCGGTTTACAAAGATTGAATCCTTTCAAAGACCTGTGATTGATACAATCACCTTCTGTGACTCTATACTTTGAATGACTCTATGACATGAATGATGCTGTCTAGTGTTTACGAAACGAACTGTGTGATAGCGACACATTGATGGGTCAATTCATGGCTCCCCTATATTAATTGGAACTGGGAAGCACCTACACTACAAAACTGTTAAATTATATACATTAAAATTGTCGAGTCAATGGTCCCCTGTTTAGTTTATTGATTGAAATTGTTTAGTCTAGTTACTGTTTTAAATAAAATGAAAATAAAAAAAAAATATTGAAAAGAGTATTATGTTGAATTTTTTTAATCATAGAGAGACGTTACCAAGGAAATGAGATCCGAACAACAGATTACAATGTCTAAAGTAATTTTTTTAAGCAATCCGCTTAAACATCACTGTTCTGATTTTCTTCAATGTTCTGTAAATGCTCCAACAGAAGTTAAAGACTTTGGGAAGCAGTTGTTGGATAAGTTAAACCAATGTTTCCGCCTTATAGAGGAAAATGAAATATATGCAGAAGCCACTTTATTAGATCATGTTTTTAAAAGGCATGGCTTCAACAATGAATCTGCTTTTAAACAAGCAAAGCAATCTTTAGTGACACAAGTGACTGCTTTAATAAGTCTAACTAAAGAATAAGATTTAATTCTACACCACAAAGCGAAGAACATGGTGTGAAAGAGACACAAAAATCAGTGTTGGCCACTTTTGATAAAAAAGTCAATAAGTCATCTTGTGCAAACAAATAGTCCAAATAGCGTCAGCAATTACAGAAGTTGATAAGTACCTTGTTGAACTTCTACAGGCTAAAAAGGATAATCTCTTGCAATGGTGGTATCAAAGGAGTCATATTTATGCCTATCTATTTGACTTGGTCAAGAAAAAACTCTTATTGCTGCTATGTCAGTACCATCGGAATGACTTTTTTCAAAAGCAAGACATACTTTGACAGATCAACAAAATCGATTAGCCTGAAAACATATGTGCCCATATTCAATATTTAAACAACAAATTATTCACATTCTATGGAGAGCTTGTGATGAAAATTAAAGAATATAAACTCCCATTATTCATTATTCTTTTTTTTTTAAGTAAAAGATTCTGCAACAGTAAGTTTATTTAAGTTATAAATACTACTATGGTCTGTTTTTTAACCAGAAGGAGTAATTCAAATTTTCCGCGCCGTAATGCTTGTTTGCAAATGATCCAACCGCAGGCAAGTTTACTCCACTAAATTATGACATATTGACACTAATGACATTTGTGAAATTTATTTATTATTATTTTCCTCTAATATATAAATCGATTTCTGACTCTTTAAGTTGTTTGTAATAACTTGGACTTGGTGATATGCGAATAGTCTTTAATGTGATATTTTTCTAGATGATATTTATACTAAATATAGTTTAAAGTGTTTCTAAATTTATAAATGTATGTTATTTATATCTAATTATCATAAGAAAAACGGCAACTATCTTTTAAATTTAGTGTATACTTGTTAAGAAGCGTTTCCATTTAGTTTTCATCACAATAAAAGAACATTAGTAAAGTAATGTTGTGTTTTAGTTTGATTGTATTGATACAGTTGGTTTTGTTCTTCCTGGTTGTGGATCATCACAAGAAAACTGCAAAATTATGCAAGAATGTAACATAATAGATTGGACTTGTTGATTATCTTTCTATTTAATACAGAAATCTAGTATTTTTTAGTAAATTTTATTTGTTGATAACAAATGGGACAAACTCACTGTCAAAATTAAACAAGAATCCAGCATTAAAGAAATTGTAAGTACACACTTATTTATACAAAGTATCTGGTAAGAAAAAAAACTAGATTCAAGAAATTGATCATACCAGAATATAAGAATATGGTCTACTATTAAAAGACAAATTTCTGATTACTTGAAAACCATACTTAGATCTGTAACATTATTGACTCTCCCGACCAAAATATTCTCTAAATTATAATTAAATACCATAGACTCAAGAGATCTATAAAACAGGATCACCCGATATTTAAATATATGTACATGGGACCAAATAAGAAAAAAGTGTGAATAAAAAAATTATTGTAATAATTGTAATATATATTGGAAGTGAATTGAAAAAAAATATTTTATTATTCAAACATAAATAAACAAAGTTAAGTTAAAATTGAGGTGTGAGGTTGTCCAATATTGATTACTTGATTACTGCAAAGCCGAGATAATCAACAAAAAAAAGAAGATGTATTTGGTGACTTCTCTAGTAACTTTTTTGGGTGTGAATCTGTCTTTTTGGTTTACTCCTCCTGGTTAAAAAACAGAGTATAGTTAGGAATTCTTGTGTCATATGTTTCCAAGAACAATTCTGTTAAAATATTCCCAAGCTGACTGAATGTACTATATTATATATTTATTATGTGGCTAAGGTAATAACAGAAAAACATATTAATACATTAAAAATTATTATGGCAATACAAGCATACCTTTTCCTTGCTAACTGATCTTGATATTGGGCCCTATTTTGATGTTGTTTTGTTTCTTCTTGTAACAGTTTCCTTTTTTCTTCTGCTTCAGCTCTCTTAGCTTCAATTTGCATTTGTGATATATGGAGTTCATATTCTTTTATTTTAGCCTGTTGTTCTACTTGACGGGTTGATTCTTGCAATTTGGACAATTCTAATGCTTCTTTGGCATGCTCTAAGTAATGAGGAAGAGTGTTATATAGTAAATAAAGACTTAAAATTTTAACACAAATTAAACAGAGCTTTGATATTTAGAAATGAGACTTCTTTACTTTTTGTATGTTCTCTAATAACCAGAGGAACCTTTAGTAAAGTAAATGAAATAGCTAAATATGGGACATGTTTTAAAAATATATTTGACATAAGGATATCAATCTTGTTTCAATCATTAGTGGAAGATTGTTCTCCATTACATAACCTTGATAAAGTTAATACTTACTAGACTTTTCTAGTTCTCTTGCAGCCTGAGCAGCTCGTTCTAAAGCTGTGGAGTCAAACCTATAGGCTTCCATGGCCCTTCTTTCTGCTTTAGTTAAATTAGGAGGTTCCGAGTTGTCACCACCACCTGACCCTCCTGCACCGGCGGGAGCTCCTAAACCCATCTGGGATAGATCAGGTACGGGGTCCTTATTCTTACCATAACCAAATATCCACGACATTTTAAAAATTATCTACAGAAAAGAATTTGTTCGACCTAGTGAAAATGTAAATTAAATTATAGGTTAGTTATAAAATTTTAAGACATGTGTCGCTCTTCTTCTTATTTTATATTGATTGAATTTACTAATTCACAGACCACTACGTTTCACGTAGGTAGCTCAAGGTCAGACCAAACCATCGAGCAATAAGACAAAAGAGGGAATCTAATCCTTATGAAAAGGAGACCAAAAAAGTGGCCTCTGATGGCGGACATATCCGGAAATGCGAATGCGCCAAATTTAAATTTTCCGACACTTATCAACAGTAGCTATATAATATTTTTCAAAATGTGTCTTAGACGAGAAAGTTTTAATTAATTATTAATGACAAGAGTCTAAAATGCGACACAATTGTTAAAAAACTTCAATATAAATAAGATTTCATGTGACATTTGGGATAAACAATAACATAACCCAACTAAATTTGATGTCAAACAAGGAGAGAGACTCTCTTTCCTTGTTTAAAGTGGCATCTAAAGATCGCACTTCCTGTCTAACAATATGTTTGCCCCCACTACCTTTACATTCCCTCTATTGTCTTTTTGCTCGATGGATCAAACTTAATGTCTAGGGATGTGTAGTTCACCATCGAAATAGTTCTAATGAACGATTAATGGAAACTTAATGTATGGAATTTTTTGAGAATTCTAATAGGATGAACATTGAGGAACACTGCAATAGTTTTTTGAAGTCGAAGTCATTGTTAATTACAATATAAACCGGTCGCTAATATGTATACAAAATAATAACAATTTTAATGTTTTCCTGAAGTGAATGCTTTTGAAATATACCACCAGGCGTCGCCCACTTTGCGGTTCCTCGCCCGTACAACAGAATAATAAACAAACAGAAGGCCCACTCTCAGATGCCGCCTTTGAAGATTTTCAGCACGCGCGCCATGTTTTACAAGGACACAGACATATGATTTGTGAGGTTATGCAATTGTTTATATTTATGTTTAATTATATTATATTTATATTATTATATTTAACAATGTTAATATAATTGTATAGTATGTCTATGATTGCCGTAAGTCAAATAAACCTGGTTAATTTTTCTATGCACACCACATAAACAACACTGGTTCCCTTTAAAATCCTCCTAAACATGGCGGAACGTCTGCGCGGAGGAAATGCGCGTACGGTCCGTCCCAAACCCTTTTTTCAGTGCGTCATAGTTGTTCGAATTCTCTCTAACGCATTAAGCTAGAAGTGACAGAAAAAAACGTGAGTCGCTTATTATTATACATAGAAATTAGAAAATTAGGTATCGTTTACGGGTATTCGCATATTAAAGCGAATTCTACTTACGAACGTATAATTGGTTGAAGTTTAGAATATGCTAAATAGATATCCAATCAATTATGCATATAAATATAATTTGACACAGATGATCTTGATAATGACAGTGACAGTACTTTCACACATATGCTTTCACAACAACTGATAAAATGATAATTGCCATTCCAGGTTAGTATTTTCAGACATTTTAACTACAGTGAAAATTAAATTCTGTATTTATTGTCATAAAAATATTTTAAATATTCCGAGATATACCGAGAATGAAAAAAGACTAATATTAAAATTATTAAATTAGTTTCAATTAGAAAATGAGGCTGAGTTATCTTTATTTCAGTTTCTGTCGCTCGCGAATCAGATTGTGAATTCCGGAATGATATTGGGGAAATATCTTAAACTAATACCTTTATGGATATTTATATGTATTAAAACGGTTCTTTTTAGAACCACGACATTTTCTTGAAATGTAGGATATAATTGATACCAGCCACATATCTAGTGTAATCATTGATTTTCAAGAATCAGATTCTGAATGGGATTATAGATTGTTTGAAATATAATATTCATTTTTGTTATTCATAAAAAAGAAGGTAAACTTACATTCTGTATCTTGTTTTTTAACTAAACTCCATTAACACGATTTCATCTGGATATCGGAACTGGTAGATTAACTCAAGAATCAACTGCTTCACTATTTAAACTATTTATATTGTTTTTTAACTAAACTTTATAACCTTCTTTCATTTGCACACCAAATCTGGTAGAATAACTCAAAAATCAACTGCTTCACTATTTAAACTATTTCCACTATTTAATGACAACTCTTCACAAAATTAAACTATTGGCTGCCACACAAACTTATCAGAAAATTCCTTATCCAAATATGACTGATTTAAATCGATATTATTTTATCGCAGGAATGTTTACTTTGATGCCTTGCAATTATCAGTAATTTTTTTTACCTTGCAGTCAACTCTTAAAAGATTCTAGGAGGAAGCGTTATTTTAAATAAACAAACCTTCCAATTCCCTAGTGTTTGTAATAAATAATAATAAATCCATAAACAAATCTTAGCTAATTAAGCACTTTCCATGGAATGTATAAAATAGAACAGAATAGAATAGAATTATGACAAACTGCTATGCATTAAAAAAAATAACCTTTTCACGTTTAGCCGATTACGATCCTGCAACTGTCAGATTTAACTAAAATGTCATGCAATAATTCTCGACATTCTTAAAATCCTATATGACGTCAAAATTAGTGACGCACTGAAAAAAGGGTTTGGGACAAACTGTACTTAATTTTCGGTGGAGAGTGGGCATTCTGTTTGTTTATTATTCTGTGCCCGTACATTGAAAGTACTTAATATTTGCTGAAGTATACTGTTTAATTAAAGACCAATATTACTAAAAGAGAAGAAACATACATTTCATTCAAAAGTCAAAGACAAAACGTCTCCATCATTTATCTATAGTCTCCATAAGTCATAAGTAATATGGAAAAGGGACGTGTCCATCCATTTATAGTGCCATTACCCCATTGTCGTAGCACAGAATAATAAACAAACAGAATGCCCACTCTCCACGGAAAATTAAGTTCGCGCATCTCCTTCGCGCAGACGTTCCGCCATGTTTTACGAGGATTTTAAAGGGAACCAGTGTTGTTTATGTGGTGTGCATGGAAAAAAAAAACATGTTTATTTGATTTACGGCAATCCTAGACATACTATACAATTATATTAACAGTTTTAAATATAATAACATAAATATAATATAATTAAACATAAATGTAAACAATTGCATCATATCATATCATATCAAAATCATATGTTTGTGTCCTCCTAAAACATGGCGCGCGTGCTGAAAAACTTCAAAGGCGGCATCTGAGAGTGGCCCTTCTGATTGTTTATTATTCTGTGGTCGTAGGTTGGGTTGGTGTTTGGTGTATTCTGTGGTGTGGTCATAGCAAAAAATCGCATAACTCATATACCATTTTTCAAAGTACAACACTGGCACGTCACGATTTATACAAAGTGACGTCACTTGTATTTAAGATTTCCAGAACATCAAATTTTTCTAACGTAGCTAATACGAAACCCATGCGGAACTTCTCGATCTTTCATTGGCGTCAACATGGTGTAATAATCAGAAAAATGTAATCATCATTATATTAAAAATTTTTGAATTATATTGATTAAATAACCAAAAATATTTGTTATTATTAATAATATAAATTTTATGAAATAACTCTTTAAGTCTAATATTCCCATCGAGCAAAAAGACAAAAGAGGGAATCTAATCGTTATGAAAAGGAGACCAAAAAAGTGGCCTCTGATGGCGGACATATCCGGAAATGCGAATGCGCCAAATTTAAATTTTTCGACTCTTATCAACAGTAGCTATATAATATTTTTCAAAATGTGTCTTAGACGAGAAAGTTTTAATTAATTATTAACGATAATAGTCTAAAATGCGACACAATTGTTAAAAACTTCAATATAAATAATATTTCATGTGACCATTTATGACAAACAATATCATAACCCAACTAAATTTGATGTCAAACATGGGGAGAAACTCTCTTTCCTTGTTTAATGTGGCCTCTAAAGATCGCACTTCCTGTCTAACAATATTTTTGCCCCCACTATCTTTACATTCCCTCTTTTGTCTTTTTGCTCGATGAATATTCCACAAAATAATAATTTTAATTAAATATATTAGAGACGGTTGAGTTTACCGAGATTACAACTGATTATAGCCGCAAGTGTCAAACATGGAACAAAAAATTTCGGTATAGCAGCGTTGGCATGTTTTTATAATGTATATACTGTATGCTTCACACATAAAAAGATAAAGCTTTATAAAGTACATTTTGTTTATATTATGTTATGAATTCAGCAATTTTTGATTTATATAAAACAACAATTAGTAAATATTTGTTTCTTTGGAGATTAATTGCAGCTAATTATTAGAATTTTCTTTGGCAATTACCCTTTGATAAATTAGGGGATAGATTTGACAATCGTCAAATCAGCAGTTGCCAGATTATAACAGATGTTTGCAATTAATCTCAAAAAAGATAAATATCTACTCATTATTCCTTTATATAAATTAAAAATTGTAGAATTCATAAAATGGTATATTTAAAATGTACTTTTTAAAAGTTTTATCTCTTAATATTTAAAGCATACATTATATTATGCATTATAAAAACATGCCAACACTGCCAAACCCAAATATTTTTGACATTTGCGGCTATATTCAGCTTGTACTTTCGGTAAACTTAACCTATTAGACAATTGTACGCTACTGATACGGAAATACTTTTAATTTTATATTATTTAATACTAATTTTATTGAGAGTTAAGCGTGTAGCAAAAATGTATAAAGTGTTGCTGCTTTTTTAGAGTAGGAATTTTGTTTATGTTTTGATTTTTTACACAATTTGATTATAATATAATATATCGACGGTGAGCAGGCAATACGTCCTATCTACAAGAAGTGTGTTTTACAGGAGGAAGAAAAAATCATTTTATTTTAAAAATATTGATATAGGGACGAATAAAAAAAAATACGTAATTACTTAAATTTTATTACGTAAATGTGAATGTTAACAAAAATTGATTTACTTGCACTATACATTTAGTGAGTCAGTTAGGACAATTTGAAATAAAATATTTTGTTACATAGGACTCTATGCATTATGATTATATAATACAAATT